CATTAACTTTGCATTAATGCTCTTTAAAAAAAAAAAGCATGAGTCCATCTTTCTCCATCTTTGGATTAAAAAACAGGTTAGACTCTGGACTCTTGCTTTGCAGTGGCAACCACTCTTGGGGAATGAAAACACTGAATTCAAAAATTGGCCTGTAGAGAGATGGGTCCTGTCAGGCTATCTTCTCTAAGACAATGACCGCAGTATCTGTTGGTGCCCTTACAACCTTAATGAGTTACAGGATTCATTACAAAATTTTGTATATCTACTGCTCTGTTTTAATAGGCATTTAAGGTAAAACATGAGATTTAAATCAATAGCATTTTCACCATTTTTAATATAAACTTTGCTTGCTATCTCTTTCAAATTCAAAACATTTACTACTTTTTTAATCTAGTACCAACCTGTGTTGAATTTTTGATTTCTGAGTGTATTTGAACTGCACAGATATTATTAGCAATTCAATCAAGTATTTGATTTGGCCTGACCTGAAACAGCTCATGATTAACAAGTCAATTAGCTTCACTGACTCTGTAATTTTGTATTTGAGATCAAAGAATAGCTTATGTACATATCTAATTAATAGATGACATGATCTGAATAAACATTTCATTCTGTTTACTAACCAATTGAATCACTTAATAACTTTTAATTGATCTGATTTGAATCAGAAAGTATTCTTAGAAATACCAGAATAATGAAATAAATATGAATGCGTATGGCTTAAAATAACAAATGTTCTTTTAAAGTGCAAAGTAAGTTATCTTTCTTTTTTTAGAAGGAGATGCAAAACTATTTCTGGATCCATTCATCAACTGTTGTTGTTAATTCTTTCTGACTCAACCAGCATTTCCTGTTATCTTAGAAGCAAAGCTCTATCATTTCATACTTGTTGACTTCCTATGTTTCAATCTCACATAATGACCAATGCACAACCACAAAACCTATCTTCAATGGACTTGCTTCATTTTTATTTATTTTATATTTTATGTGCGTATATATATATATATATATATATACTCACTGCTGCAGATTTTCCTTTTGCAGTTCAAAAGGAAAATGTCTTTAACAGACAAAATACTTGTTTGTGTGTGTGTGCGCATATAAACTTTCATATTTATCTGTAAAAATGTATATGAAGAAATATACACATGTGCTTAGTGTTATGAATTCTTTGAAAAAAAGTAGCAACATTTTTTTAAAATATTGTTTTGATCTCTGGACTTTTTGGCATTAGGCACCGCTCCACATCAAAGCAAAACAGTTGCATGGGGTTAAGTAAATTACACCAAAGATAAGAAAAAAAAAATTAATTTTTGAGTGTTTTACCTTAATAGGAATGATAATTGCAGAAACACACAGTGGACTGATGTCCTCAATATGAATCTTGATGCTTTCAGAAATTAAGTGGTCTGTATTTTTTTATGGCATTACAAGAATAATTTCAGTCTTTAGAGATTAAAAAAGGAACAAAATAAAAACCAAAGCAATTTTATAAAAATATATGGAAATATGACATATTTTAATGTTATATTTGTATATATTTTTATAAAATAAGAGATATGTGCGTACATTTTAGTACACACATATCTCTTTCATACATAATGCTTAAGTTTACACAAGTTTACACAAAGAGGATCAGTAAGTCGATAGGCTGATACATAGTTATTAATTGAATTTTGATCTAAAATTAAGTGCATTGACAAAGATTAAGATACATATTTGTTTATGTAAAATAAATGTTTTCTATTCCTTATTAGGCTTATGGGTTAAATAGTAAAGTAGATTGTGATCTTTAGCCTGGTTAGCAACAAATCTAGAATGACAACTCTAAATGCAAAACTAGTTATGTGTAGGGCTGGTAATTTCAACTTCTGCCTGTACGTACTAGATCCCTTCATACCATAGGTGATCACGTCTCTCTACAACTTCCTATCTCTTGTGGCTCTTAGCAGTTTGTTCTCCCTTTGCTAAGGCTCCCCCATCTTGTTTTGCTATGCATTCATACTTGCTGTTTTCCCTTATCTCTGTTGCACTCAATATGCTATGTGAGGTTTAGTTTTCCAAATCTTCCTTCCTCATTATGTGTCCATGGAATTTCAGCTGTCTTTTCTTGATTCTGAGTAGAAGTGTTCTTTCTGTTTACTTGCTACTGACAAGGTACTATGATTAAGCTCTTTATTCAATTTTTCTTGTATTCATACAAGTATTTTCTTTTCTGGACATAAAGTGCATAATAACTGTCAAAAATAAAAAATAAAAAAATAAACAGCCTTGATAATTGCTAACAGAATAGCCGAAAGCACTTGGATATATAGAACATTTGGAAGCTTAATAACAGTACCTTGTCAGTCCTCTTTAATAAAACTTGTATAAAAGAAGGATTGCTGTCCAAATACATAATAAATATATATATATATATATATATATATATATATATATATATATATCTTTGGAATCACTGGAAGGGCCTTCTAAATTATAAAATCCATAGATAGATTCCTGAAGGTAGTCATTAATGGCCAGTCTTCTGAGGCCCTGACAGTCAATACAGGCATCCCCCCCCTCCAGGGATCACTTCTGGGACCAACCCTCTTTCTGATTTACATAAATGATCTACCTAAAAATATACTGAGATTATTTGTAAACATTTATGCCAATGATATGACAATATATAGGTGAACGTCTAAAACTCTTGATGATCAGAGATTGACAACTGACCTCTCTTCCAATCTAACACTAACTTCCTAGTGGGGAAAAATGACTGGTTATATTCAATGCCTAACTTCCTAGTGGGGGAAAAAATGGCTGGTTACATTCATGCCTAACTTCCTAGTGGGGGAAAAATGGCTGGTTACATTCAATGCCTCAAAAACCAAACTAGTTACATTCCTTTATTTTTACAAAAGCCAGATCAGGTCAAAAATGGGATATCGTTGTCATATTTGGGAAGGAGCTTCCCAGTCCTCACTTACTAGTCTTGATAAAGTTCAAAAGCATCTCTTGTAATCCTTGTAAGTGAGACATTATTTTCAACCTTCCAACCTCTCTCACAGGCAGGGCATGACAAACATTTCACTGCTTTATCACTACTATTTAGAATAACGAGTTTATTACAATATAAAACTTAATACAAACTAAAGAAGACCTTCATTATCCTACCTAAAACATTTTTTTTCCTTTAGATCTGCAAATCTTTTCATGGCACTTTCTACACCTATTTTTAAAAGATCATTTTCTATTGACAAAATAACCAAAGAATTTAATGTCTTGAATCATGGTATGTTTTTATAAGATTTAGTTTTGGAAGATCTTAAACACATTACAAGTTGCCAGTACCTTGATCCAGCTATATATAATATATATATAATAAAGTTAATAGTCAGAACTTAATTAGACCAGGAAACATTAGTATTAAAAGTGCTCAATACATGTATAAAAAAAAATAAAAATCTAACATGTAGAGCTTTTAAGTACAAAAAATTAAGAGATCAGCCAATTCCACTACCTTGGTTTCAACCTTTTGGTATCTTCAGTCAAGTGATTTCCTAATGTTCTTTTTTTTTTTTTTAAATTTAAGAATGCTATATTATTTAAAAATAAATAAATGAGTGAATGACTTGAGGTGTGGTAAGAGGAAGGGAGAAAGCAAGTGTATTGGTGGGGGGGTTAAATGAAATATACATACTTTCTTTTCATCCCACTTCATATGAACTCAAAAGGAACTTTTTAGTATGTATATAATTCGTCATAATTTCTGCTCTTTTATTCAAAAAATTATTACACACTATTAAGTTGTATTATGTTAGCCTGAATGTTTACTTATGTGGATCTATTTTGGTACATCAGTAATTCTGTAACTCAATGAAGAAAAAATTATTTAACACAGCCAAATGTTTTAATTAATTTCCTTCCTTATCAACTCAATTCATTAATGGATATTAATTATGTATATATTAGACATTAAGCTATGAATTTTTCAGTTAATGGTTATGAACTTCTTGATCTATTCTCCTCTACACCTGCTATTTGATTTCCAATCATCCTTGTTTTTGTATATGTAAATACATATTAATTTGATGTCCACATTTATTGCAGTACAAAAAAGCCTATTTCATTGGTGTGATGCTAAAAAAAGATGCATTTTTTAAATATTTTTTTCTTGTTAAATGAGAAGAAAATTTTAAAACAGGCTTTTTTTGCATAATGATGTTTTTTTAAGAATTGGGGCCTAACTTCATAAAAGGTTTTTATATCAGAATATTGTCTGCTTAAAAATGGTAAAAAACAAAAAGCATACAAAAAGAGTTTGTCAATATCCTTTTAAACTCACACCAATGATTTGAAATAATCTGGGAAATCAATTACTTTAAGACTTAAGCATTTTCAGTTTTATTTTTTCCATCTTATTCTTTTTACCACATCTTTCATGATACCCTGCAACCATTAAAGAAAGTATATGACCTAAAAAATTGTATTTATTTTCTATATAACAAGATAAAGTAAAAAAAAAAGCTGAAAAGTTTTTGTTTTAAAGTATCAAATTAAAATTTTCTTACTGAGATTTTAAAGTAAAATTTGAACTTAGTAAACTGCTTAATGTAAGCTGACTAGATCATTTTTACCAATTTAACTACAAAGATACTATAATTTGTTCTATGATATTTCTATTAAAGACCCTCATGTCAATTTGAAGTGGAAAAACAGGGTTTGTTGTTTTGCTTTCATCTGGTAAATATATCACAGCATATATTAAGTTTTTGTTGCATAAAATTTCTTTTTAAAAATGTTTATATAAAGGAAAATATCTATTTCTCTTGCAGAAAGTCGGATGTGATAATATTGTTGGTTCAGGCAAGGTTGTTGACAGGTGTGGGGTATGCGGAGGAAACAACCAAACATGCAATATCATGAAAGGGTTCTACACCCCAGCACGACTACCCAAAGGTTACAACACTATTCTGACTTTTCCATCTGGTGCCTGCAATATTAACGTCACAGAAATGAAATCCAGCAGAAATTTCTTAGGTAACTTTAAATCTTTTTATAGTATGTTACATTATTTTGCATATAATGAACCAGTGTAGATAGTATATTGTACCCATTTAATTAAACATGACACAGTGAAATATGTCTTTCAGAAACTAAGCAAAGCATTAAAAAATAGGAAAATGTCTTTAAGAACAAAGAAAAATGTAATAGCTAATCTCCTCAGGTGAAAAAGAAACTCTGAAATGACAAATATGATTCTACAGGGGAAGCATGTGAGCAATAAAGAATATATTTATATATAAATATCTTATACTTAGAAAAAGAAAACAATAGACACCTGATGATGGCCAGAGGTTACTTGGCTGAAATGTTGTCTATAATAATATCTATATCAACCTAAATGATTACAATAGTTTGTAATAAAAATAAAAAAGAAAATAAAAAATTGACAATTACTCTTCTCAGAAATTAAATCCTAAATTATGAAAAGTGGGATGAACTCATTATGTTGAAAACATTTGATATTGAATATAAAGACTCCAAAAATACACCATCCTTTGGAATGGTGGCATAGTAGATATAGAAATTTGTTATTCATGTGTTACTCTCATTTAGTGGTTGTGAGTTCAATCCCTGTATCATGTAGTGAAACACTTGTTCAGCAGGAACTAACAATAACTGGTATCACAGAGACAAACAACACAATCAACAAAAAAAAATGTACACTTGATTATGGCCAATATTTGGCTGAAAAATCATAATAAATCATGGTTTAAAATAAGTTTTTTTTTAAAAAAAGTATATTGACAATTACTCATCTCAGAATTCAGAAATTAAATTCTGAATTACAAAGAAAATTATGCCTGAAATTCCAATTTTCCTTATACTTACAGTCAGAATGAAACACTTGAAATTTCAGGGACACACAATGAGGAAAAAAGGCCTGGAGAATTTAACACTCACAGGACAAGAGAAGCAGAAAGAAACACATATGTTTGAGTAAATGAATAGCAAAATAAAGACAATGAGGGATCGTAACATAGTAACATGAGATGGGAATTTGTGGAGGGCCATGATTACTCAAAAGAGTCATAGCACCTAAAAGAAGAATGGTTTATACGAGGAAGTAAAAAGTTAAGACAACTTCAAACATTTCAGCAATTATGCCTTCTACCTTTCTTCAGGTATTTGTCTATCAGTGTAATCTTCAAGGTATTTTGAATTGAACCCTTTAGAAGTAGATTGTTCTTAGTCTGCTGTCAAAAAAAAATGATGGCCCTACACATGGTTAGTGGAATGAGAACAATCTACACCTATAGACTGAATAAAAAGCTCAGTTTGAAATTCTCTGAAGGTTACTTGGAATGATAAATGTCTAAAGAAGGCCAGAGAGCACAGTGACCGAAATGTTGCAATAACAACAAAGATGAGGACATTAGTCCAAATGTAAAAAATAACTTCTCATCCCAGAAATTTAGACAGAAATTACTTAATTAAAAATCTCATTACTATTAATCTCATGTTACATGTGCATATATGCTTATTTACATGCAGTATTGTGCAGAAGTGGAAGCACAAGCTGCTGCAAATGTGGATCCATATTTTGATAAGCAAGACCAGAGTAGGCCTCTCTACTTGAGTCTTAGGAGGATACAATCAAGGAGTTGGCCCTGGGCATCACCAAGCCACTGCATGTCACTGTTTATATGTTGTTCAAGTTATTTGACATACTAACCCAAAACATGCTTAAATATAAATTTTAAATACAAGAATTAATTCAATGAAACATGATAGAAAACATTTGCAGTGATAGCAACAAATAAATTTCTAAAGACCCCACCAAACCCTTATTACTAGACTATATAGTAATCTGGAACAAAAATAATAATAATAAAAGAAAAATTAAAAGTTTTGCAATAAATATACTTTAAAATACAGATAAGAATGGTAATTAACAATAAAGAAAGAAAAAAGAATTAGATAACAAAAAATAATTAAATATAGAATACTCCCATGATGCATCAGAGCAAGCATTTTACTACCAAAAGATTTTTCTTTCTTTTCATTTTCTGAATGCCATCTACCACTAACAGATAAGCAAAACTTTATTTCTGTATACATATGTTCTTGAAAATGTACAATCATTTCTCTAAAATGTATACTAAAACATTTTATCATTTTTGTCTATCCTTATTTCATTGTATTTTGTATGTGATTTTGTTTTTAATTTTATAATCCTGTTGTGAGCTGATGATGCTCTTTTAACACCCCCATACAATACATATATTAAAAAATTACATTCAGACAATGCCAACGCATAACCAGGCCCTACAACACAAATATATGAAACTGATATTTTTGGTTTTTTTTTTTTTTTTAAATTTGAGCAATGTTGTCCTGGAAATGTTAAATTTAATATAAATATTATGTTTCTTTCTGTATAGCATTGAAAAAAGATGATGACACATACATAATCAATGGCAGATGGCCAAGGAGCTCACCAGGACAGTATAAAGCTTCTGATACTGTATTTCACTATAACAGGCATGCAGGAAAGTCATGTGTTGGAGAATGCCTTCATGCTCAGGGTCCTATTGCAGATAAGTTAATATTACAGGTATGTAAATTACTAGTCTGTAATTTTTTCTTTAGATTTTTTTTAAAATAAAATAATTTATATTTATTTCATTGTGATATTAAAAAAATGTAAATTCACTTAATTCCTCTCAAATTTAATCTTTCAAATTCAGTTATGTAAGATTTAAAGGGCATACTTTAATTTGGCTTGACTACTATTAACCATATATGCTTAAGGAAAAGGAATAGCAATTTATTGCCCACCTGTTTCTATTATTAATCATTTCACCCAAAGCAAGGCAATAAAGTCACTAAGATGCAAGGTGTTATCGAATGTGAAAGAATATGAGAAAAATAAAACATTGTTAAGAAGATAGATTAATAAAAGAACAGTAATTAAGAAGAGAGAAGATAATAATTGATGTTGCATTCAAATTTTGAAGATCAAAGTTGACTGGAAAGCAAGAATCAAGAAGAAAGTTCCACAAGTGAGATATGAGATAGAAGAAACCATTAGCATAGAACTTATGGTTACGTATAACCATTTGAACTGTAAAATGATGTGACCTTGCTGCCAATTTGGTACTGCACTTAAATTCGTAAAGTTTAGGTACAAAAGAAGAAAGCACATCAAAACAATTACTATGAAAATATTTAGAGAAAATGCATGGAAAGCTGTGTTATGTTATAGCAGTGCAAAAGTCACTGAAGCTGAGATGCCAGATTAAGACAAATAAAATTCTTTGGATTTCATCAAGAATCTCTAAATACATAGAAACACCAGACCAGATGTGACAGCAATATTCAATTCATGGATAAATGGTAGATTTATAAATTTGTTATTAAGTAACTTTTTTTTTTCTTAAATAAAAGAATAGAATTAAATTTCTTATGGTAGATTTAGGATTTTTACTTGAACAAGATATTAATTTTGTCATTGTTGTTCAGGATTTAATTTAATTGTTTCTGGTTAAAAAAAAAAATAAGTTAGTGATAATTCAATTGTTTTGGTAAACTAGAAAATACAATAGCTTGGCTACCAGCTGCTTTCAAAGTGAGTGATAAATTGCTACCACTTTTCCTTAAGTGGACGATGAATTGCTACTGCTTTGATAAGCGTGCCTGCTAAATGGTAGTTGTGTTATTAATTACTTTAATTTTTTTTTTTTTTAATATTTGATAAATTCTTTGTACACTAGTTTAAATTTGACCTTAAGAAAATGAAGCTTAGCACAATGTTTATACCTACATTTTCACAATTTGAATAAGAGTTAATCTGTTAGGCTTATTTTATTTCTTTTCACACTGCTTTCTAACAACTAACCAAGTATAGAATGAGTCCAATAAAAAAAATTAAGTGATAAAAAACTTATATGTTGAAACTGTAATATATAAAGTGTCACATTCCAAAAAAAAAAAAATAATAATGAAAGGCAAATCTTTCTTATTTTGTTTCTCATTCTTTCCCCTCTTTGCATTTCAGTTGCTTTTCTTTTCATTTTTCTCCAGATTTCTTTCTTAATATCTACATTTCATTCATCATAGCCTCTTTCCTTTTTCTTCATCTCCTTTGATTTTCTCAATTTTTTTAGCAAGTGAAAACAAATAGATAATTAAGGTGTGTGTGTGTGAGAGAGAGATATCAAGAGACACTTTTCTGATTCCACTGATACCACACTGATTCTCAACAAGTTTTAATCTATATATAAATAATCCAATCATATTTTATGGGTATTATGCTAGTTTCTAATAACTGACAATGCTTCAGAGTAGTAATAAAAAAAAAACAGTTTTTTTTTTTCATTTACAAATAACTGAATTTAGAGATGGAATTTTATGTTCTTTTGTTTTTCAAAATATGAAAAATTAATATTTTCTTGACAATAAATTTCCCAACTGTATTCATATTTATTTATGGATATTAGCCAAGAAGTTATTTAGAGCACAGATTAAAGAAAATGATTAATATTTATATGATGAAATTTAAATGATCCCAGCTGACATAGACCTTCATCAGGCCTGACTGAAACAAGCTAAGTGTGGTGGTGATTGGGTATTACTACAACCACCACCACTACCACCTCAACACTACCTCAGTTTTCTTGCTTATGTCCATTGCAACTTTACCCAGGCTATTAATCTTATATTAGTAAAATCAGTATTATCTTTGTTTTGTTTTTAAAGTAAGGTTCACCCTTTACAAGGCCTGGGGGCCACTCAAGGTAAAAGGTTACATTTGGAGTGGAAGATAACAGTTGACCCTAGCCTTGAACAGGTTAAGATTGTAGTAACCAGGGAAACATTTTCTTGGAAGTCGGCTTCACAGATCAATGGTCTGTGGGAAAGCAGCTGTTTGAGTGGAACTTACTTCTCGCCGATGGAATACAGAGGGAATGTGGGTGATTTGCTACTTATGTAAGTGGAATGGTATGTCCTTGTCATGAAGGTTTGAATTGGCAGGACCAGAAAATGTAGTTCATCTGAGCACTTTCCGTAAAAGTCACAATAGAGCAACAAGAAGCTTGCTACATCCTACCTGTGGGAGAGAGGTTGAAGGGTGAAGAGTAATTCATTACACAGAAAGAGATGAAGAATTAGTTATTAAATTTTTGACTACTATCAACAAGATTAATTTTTTTCCATTTGTTTTTTTTTTTAATCAAAACTTTACTCAGGCCCTCAATCTATGACACTGAATAGACAGTAGGAATTTCAACCATCAATAAGACTTGAACTCCTGTTCCTTTTGCCTTACGAAGTGTGATTGAGTTACAAAAAGTGTTTTTTTCTGATCAAATATAAACTCACCCTTCTTTCCACAAACTTTCAACACCATATTAGTGTTTTTGTATTATTATTATTACTAGTAGCAGTATACTGTTAGTATTAGTAGAAGCAGTATTACTTTTATTTTTATTTGTCAAACCAATTAACCATTATTTTTTTGTAACAGATTCAATCAGCCTGATAAAAGACTCCAAGTTGGTTTTATGTGGTGCTGTAAGCACCAGGAGTTGCATCCTTTTCTACAATGGGCTGTTGAGAGAAGCTACTTTTCTACTTAGTCAATGGCACTATTTGCATATGAATGATACTAGGCAGGTATTAGCCAATAGTCAGCATGGGTCTAGGACTGGGAGAGCTATATAACACCAGTTTTTTTCTCAGTCGAGAGAAACACTCACAATGTGTGGTCATGTGAAAACCAGACAAGACAAACACATTTTTTTATCTAATATATTGCATAAAACAATATAAAAGTCTATACATAACTAGAAAATAAATTTGATATTTGCATTTTGTGTTTCATTAAATTAAAAATGCCTCAGTTTAACGTTATTTCAGTTTGAAGTTTCATGTTGACTTGAAGGTCATTTAGTCACATTTTCGAATCTAGTAATGAATATTTAATTCGTAGCAATTATGTAGATATTAGACTTTTTTTTTTTTCTTTATTTTATTTACGGTAACATTTTTTTCCTCTCACCTCTTACTACCCCTATTGTTAAAATCATGCATTTTGGACATGTAGGTTGTGCTCTGCATGACAAATAAGACCAACCATTTTTTTTTTTTTTTTTTTTTTTACTGTTTGGTTAGTCAATACAAGACCCAAGAGCCACTCAAGGTACAGGTTTACTGAATGATTCATTGATTTTGGTTTTTGCAGCCTATCAACTTTTTGCAGGTTATTTGAATTTGGAAAACATTCTAGATTGTAAGAATTTTTTTAAGATAGTAATGTTTTTCTGATACAAGTTTTACTAATTAACCCATAGCTGGGAAGAGGAGGAGAAGTGGATACCTTTCCCACAGGAAAGCACATAAGTGAATATAACGAACCTGACTAGAATTGGAACTTGACTCGCCAATTTTCACTTATGAGCTGTTATCTATTACATCACCCACACATCCAAGCTTACAGCACCTGGTATTCCCAAACATTTACTCATTTAGTTACTGACCAGGCTCAATGTTGCTTACCTTTAGGTTACTGAATGAGATTGTTGTATGAACATAGAAGCAAGAGAAGGTAAGAAGTGCAGATGACTAGGATATGTAGAAAAGATAATGGTTGACTCTATACATGAAGAGGCCAAAATTGTCGCAATCAGGGAAGCAACCTCTTGTGTATGTTCCACAAAGTAGAATTCTTGGGAAGAACTTTCTTCTAACTAATGGAATATGAAAGGAATGGAGATGATTTGTCTCAGTTTATGCGGCATGGCAGGTCTGTCAATGACTGGACTGGTGACACAAAGAAATGTTGTTTGTCAGAACATTTTCCATGAATATAGTGATAGCATAGAGAGAGGCATGTGACATGTCTGTTGGAAAGGAGTTGTAGAGTGGAAGATAATTCATCACCCATACAACCACATAGAACCTTTTGAATTTTATCAAGTCTGGAAAGAGAGGTTTAGGCAGTTCCAACCCAGATCCATTTTGGGTCTGATTCTTACTGTGTAACAAAAAGTCCAGAAATTTATTCAGTGTCATAGTTTGACAAGCAGCATTTCTTAGTTTCACCAGTCCAGTCATTTTCAGGTAAGACCTGCCATGCCACATAAATTGGGACAAATCATCTCCATTCCCTTCATATTCCATTAGTTAGAAGAAAGTTCTATTCAGACAACTTCTTCTCAAGAATTTCTACTTTGTGAAACATACTCGAGCATTATTGGATTTGATTCATACTGTGTAACAAAAAGTTCAAAAATCTTTGTTGAGAAATAACTGAAAGATGAAAATTTTTAGTCCTTTGACCTTTATTAAGTTTATTTTATTCAGTGCCTTAATTTTTTTAATTTAAATATAGTACATCATGACATAACATTCACTGTCTATTTAATATTTTTTAAAATGTTGTTTGAATATAAACACATTTTAGGGAAATCTCTGACAAAGTGGAAAAAGTTTTTTGTGTCATGCATCGTTTTCATTGATGTAACTACATATGTACAAGATGGAGAAGAGTCGCTGAGAATTCTAAATTTTAATTTTTTTTTTTTTTTTTAAATATTTTTTAGGTATATCATCTAGCTGATTTCATTTAGTTTCTTTTTCTTTGTATTTATCACATTGTTATTAAATATCCCCCCCACATTGTAATAATAGAAGATCTGCCAAGAAAAGTGAATTTACCATGGATGATCTAGCAATTAAAGCAGTTTCTATACACTTTTGTCTTAGTAAATGTCTTTCTATTTTAATTAAAGTAGCATTTTTTTTAATCAAAATTATGGTTACTCATTGTGGTGAGCAACTAATGCAGTTAATATGTTGCTTTGTAAAAGATTCCTTTTGTGTTCCTATAATCTTTTATTTAAATTCTTTAAGGTTTCTTCTATATATTCCTTGGGGCAATTATTACAGGTGATAGAGTAAATTCGTCTTTCAATTTTTAGCTTATTTTGCTTTGTATTAAGTGTTATGTTTAAGAAATAGTGGCTTCCTTCTGTCTTTTCTACAAATATTTTCATGGCAATTGCACTGACAAGATTTTTTCCCTGGTGCTCTGACTACATGAATTTAAACTGCTACTAGATTGGCATCTAGGTCAAACCATTTTACTGTTGAAATAGATAAATGCAACTGCCACTTCTACTTCAACAGTTTTTCTCGCATCTCCCACCTGTGGAATTCACTTCTGTTTACTTGCTTTCTGGATAACTACAATCTTCAAAAATTTAAATGTGGCATCAATCATTATCTTCTATCTTCTTGAATCCCGTTCATCTTTTGTCCTTTCCTCAATCCTCTCTCTCACATTCCCCTCCTGTACCTCTACCTCTTCCCTCCAACACACACACAAATGGCATAAGAGTGGCATTCCTGCTTTGCTTGGGGTGAAATGATTAAAAAAATGTTTTTAAAGTTGTAACAAATTTCAACTGTAGTTATGATATAGTTGGTGAGTAGAACAATATATTTTGATTCATTAGATTTGTTTTTTATATATAAATTTTATATATTGTTTTTTTTTTATATATATATATATATATATATATATATATATATATATATATATATTTTTTTTTATTTTATATATATAAATTTTATATATTGTTTTTTTTTTTTTTATATATATAAATTTTATATATTGTTTTTTTATTTTTATATATATAAATTTTATATATTGTTTTTTATTTTTATATATATAAATTTTATATATTGTTTTTTTATTTTTATATATATAAATTTTATATATTGTTTTTTATTTTATATATAAATTTTATATATTGTTTTTTTTATTTTTATATATATAAATTTTATATATTGTTTTTTTTTTTATATATATAAATTTTATATATTTTTTTTTTTTATATATATGTTTTTTTTATATATAAATTTTTTTATATTGTTTTTTTTTATATATTTAAATTTTATATATTGTTTGTTTTTATATATTGTTTTTTTTATATATTAATTTTATATATTGTTTTTTTTTATATATATAAATTTTATATATTGTTTTTTTATATATATATAAATTTTATATATTGTTTTTTTTTTTTTTTTATATATTGTTTTTTTTATATATAAATTTTATATATTGTTTTTTTTATATATATTTTTAATTTTTTATATATTTTTTTTTTTATATATATGAATTTTATATATTGTTTTTTATATAGACCAGTGAATATTATTTGCTTTAATTCTAAGTAAATGCCAGTATGTTAAACTTTTTTAATGATTGATTTATTTTGAATTCCTGCTCCTCATCTTGGTTATTATTGTCACATTTCACTCCTTCTACCCTCCAGCTGTAATTTTTGTTTTTCAGCTGTCATCCAGAAATCTTAAACCAAACACTTTATTCAATCTATAGGAGTAAATTACTCCCATTCCATTGTCTATAGCAAAAAAAATCTCTCATTTCAATTCTCTAGAGTTAATTTCTTTTTGTGATAGACATAGTGGACTAATGAATAATGTCTCAGATTGAGGAATCGGAGAGCTGAGTTCGAATTCCAGTTAAATCCATTACATTCACTTATATTCTAATACCCTTGAGAAAGGTATGAATCCTCTTCTCCCCCCAGCTATAGGTAAATAGCAGGACAGACCAGATTCTATAGCCTTGTATGGCAACTGGTTTACCGCAGAAAGAAATGCCAACCTACTGTGGGGAAAAAATCTGCTTTGTCAGTCATGTATTGAAAGATACATGATCACCTAAGCATATATCATGCATGGCACATAACTGATTGATAGTTTATCTCTTCCACTGAATTAGAGATTTTTTTTTTGTTGTTTTATTTTGTATTTTTTTGTTATTACCCAAACTAGGGTTTGAACTCATATCTGCAGGTAACAATCTGCTTTACTAACATTTTTGTCCTCTGTCGAGTAGAATAAAGTTACTAGCTAAAACAGTTACATTTCATCATCACCAAGCAGACCCTGAGTTTTTTCAATCATGAAGATCAGCTGTATTCTTAATGAAGCTCCTTGCTTAGAACCTCTATTGGGACTCAAGTTAACATCAAAGTTCAAGTGGAACTCATATATACAATCCATCACTAAAGATGCTGGAGAAATGGTCAGTTTCTTAGACCACAGCAGAAAGTACCTGACTCCTCCTGCCATGCCCTATCATATCAAGAATCAGATCAGACCAAAAATGGAGTATTGCTGCTGCTTCTTGACTGGAGCTGACAAACTTGGAAAGTGTTTGTGTGACTTTGTGGATGAGGAATTGTTTTCTAGCCTACATTCCCTATCCTACTGATGAAACATTACTTGCCTCTTTCTACTATCACTATTTTCAGGACATATTTGAGAAAACTATTCTTTGGTTCCAAAAGTCCTTTGCAGCTTTGTAGGTTGATTTTTGTTTGGCTACATATCAACCGTTATGTATTATTTACTGTCAAAATTTTAAATATTTTGAAACTTCAACTACAGATAAAATTTATTGTCAGTCATTTTGTGATATAATGTATTGTTGGTCATTTTTTTTTATATAAAAATGTATTGCTGGTATTTTAACAATGAAAGATATATTTTTATACTTTCATAGAGTTTTGTTTTTGTTTGGAGAGGGGCGGTTCACTATTTGCTGAGACCCCCTAACAGGTGCTACCATTTCAGGTCAGAGTGCAGATGAGAACAGCAGCAATTAAGAGGTGGTTCCATGTTCCTCAAAACCTCCAATCTCCCAATCAAAGGCCTTTCTGCCAGATGTAGTTTATTGTCATACCCAGGAATATCACGGCTTGGACCTGCCAGGCTGCATACACCTTCATATTCCATTGGTAAGCAGAAAGTTTCACTCAAACAGCTTCTTCCTGAGAACTGTTACATTGTGGAACAGACTCCCAAGAGGTTGCTTCCCCAATCACTACAATGTTAACCTCTTCATTTGTAAAGTCAACCATTATCTATCATAAATATCCTCATAATATGCACCCCTTGCTCCTGCCTTTCTATGTCCTTATAACAACCTCATTTATTAACTCTACCATGAGCGGCTCTTGGGCCTTGTATTAAGTGAACAATGGTAAAAAGAAAAAATGACTGAACAAGGTCATAGGGTGCGATGCCAGAAATGTGACAATTACAACCAAAAATCTAAATGACTTCAGTATTGCTACATGGAATTATTTATTTTTCTCTTTTTTGCAGTCACAGTTAATATAAACTCTTTTATTTTATTTATTTATTTTTAGCTGTTGGCTTATGATAGAAATCCTGGCATTTTTTATGAATACACCATTCCAAGTGGAATGGTTCCTAAAATACTACACAAAATGAAGAATATACGTCCTCCTCCTCCCAGGCAAATACATCCACAACCCCAAGCATACAGTGGACAATTCTACTCTCGTAGGCCCAATATAAGAAACCTACCTCAACATAGACAACTGCCAAAGATACATTCAACTTCCAACAAAACTCGTTCCTATTGGATGAGACAAAGATTAAATGGTCGTAAAGTCATTAACCGCCGCCCTGGCCCTCATTACATACCTTCTCATGCTTCTAACCAAGCTTTAGGGGGCTCCAGCCAGACTTCTTACAGCCACCAACCTCACCAGCAACAAGCCCAACACAGAACCAATCGAAATCATCCAAGATTTACATACCCAAGAAATGATCAACAATATAGAAATTCAACAATACCTCATAGGAATTACCTGAGGTATCCAGTTTCAAGAAGACGCTTTAACTCCACACTACCACGTGGAATGTATCCAAGATATTCTCGGATCAAGTATCCAAGGTTGAACTCTTCTTCGGCTGCCCGGGGAACTCATGGACGTCAGTACTTAAGCGCACAGACTAACAGGACATACAGCAGAAATTATAATAACCATGTCTTTAATCCTTCCAAACAACAAACCCAAAACCGTATTCCTTATTGGAATAACCCTCAAAGGCCAGTTTCAAGACATTCAAGGCCTGTATTTAACCAACCAGATAAATCTGGTGCACAGGCTCAAAGTTCTGCTGTTGTAAGTAACACAAATACTGGCTCATCTGATGAAGAAATTACTTACCAATGGAATATTGTTGGATTTACTGAATGTTCAGAGACATGTGGAGGAGGTAAGTACAGAGAAGTTTTGTCCTATATTTTTCCTATGTTCACTGTCAAGAAAAAAAAAGTTGAAAATGATTAGTTTTTTAAATTTAAAAAAAAAAATTATTTCATTATTTCTAATTAATGTTTTTTTTTAATTCTTATTTTAAATTTTCCTATCATCAAGACAACACTTCCACTGCCATACAGCTATACCATTATTACCTGTGTTGACTCATTTTGGGAAAAATAGAAAATTGTCATTTATGGAAAATAAATAACTATTGTCATTGCTGATGACAATGTTTCATGCATGCCACCATTTTGGTTTTGATTGGATACTCTGCAGTACAGACAAAAGGACAATCCTAACACAATAAAAATATGTCACAAAACAAGTTGTATTCTATGCATATGCTGTTTTTGTAATAGCACAATGAAGCACTAGTTAGCTAATAACAAACACTATGGACTAATATTTCACTGTCATATATATATATTTCCAAAAAAAATTTCGCTTGAAGATGGAACAGAGCTTAGTACTTTAATTCAATTTAATTAAAATAATTATATTGAAGTTTTCGGCTCTTGTTTTGAAACATGAGAACTCTTATGTAGCGTGTTGGAATCCTATTTTTAAATAAATAATTATAGAGAGAGAGAGAGAGAGACCATGCATGGATACGAATCCAACAAAAAGCATAAAGAACAAGTAGAAAACAGATCTTAATCTAACATTTTACTTTAGTAAAGCTTCATCAGAGATCAAGATAGAAATGATATAAACTGATAAAAAGCAAAGGACTTAGTTTAAGGGTATATGTTGTGCTTGGCTATTTCTTATTGGTTAGATATGTGCCACAGGTAATATTTAAATATACAGTAGCGTCCAAAGCTAAGGGACAAAATTTTAAAACCTAATATTTGTTAGAAATAACAACTGTGAAAAGCTGAAATTTTGACAACTGGTAGTCGTTATCATCCATAATAACATACTAAAATTTGAATCATTTACAAAGGATAGAAAAAGAATTATAACAATTATTTATTTATTTTCAAATTTGGAACGTCCAAAAGTAAGGGACAAAATTGAGAAAAACAATGTAAACGGCAAAAAAACAATAAAAATACATGTACAATCAATATTTAGTAAATGAGCCCTTGCTCTCAATGACAGCTGCACATCTTCGACTACAAGAACGAATCAGTTTTTGACAATTCTCCATACTAATTTTAGACCAAATTTCTTGAAGCTTCACCCACAAATCCTCCGTGTTAGTGGGATTTCTTTCCATAACTTTCACTCCTAAGGTCTTCCAAAGATTTTCTATTGGATTTAAGTCAGGACTTTGCGGTGGCCAATCCATAATTTCCAAATCTTGCTCGCTAAGGTAACTCATTACCACCTTTGCCTTGTGACATGGGGCATTATCTTGCATAAAGGTAGCCCTATCGAAACCTGAATTCTGTATGATTGGCACATGATCTTGAACAATGTTTTTATAGATCTGCGCCTTTACACGAAGTTTGTAACCGGACAAGAGGCGTTGTACCTTGGCTAGAAAACATTCAAATACCATGACGCTTCCGCCCCAAACTTGACAGTTTTCTTAGTACACTTTGCACTTAATCTTTCACCAATACGTCTCTTTTACATTGTTTTTTTCCATCATTTCCAAATAAATTAAACTTGCTTTCATCACTGAAAATACTTTTGCCCAATTTTCATATGTCCAAATTACATACCTGTTTGCAAACTCTAATCTCTTCTTATTCTTCGAACTAACAAGTGGTTTCTTCCCTAGGTTCGATTAAACAGCCCTATTTCTTGCAGTCGTCTACAAACAGTCTGTCTTGACACATTAACAGATGAGGTACTATTCATAACCCTTTTAATTTCTGTGCAAGACTTAAAACGGTCCTTTAATGACATACGCTGCATTATTCGATCTTCTCTTGCCAAGTTTTATGGGGTCTGCCGGTTTTAAAAAGCACTATTTGCCAGTATCATTGTAGGATTTAACAACCCTGCCTACAACACTCTTGGAACGTTTCACTTTCTCTGAAATCTCTCTAATGGTGTTATTTTCCTTGTGTAGCTTCACAATAGCTTGTCTCACAGAGTAATCAAGTTTTTGGCGTTTCGCAATGGTGCCGGCTGATGCAACGTTTACAAATGACTAAGTAAGACTTACTCTTTAGAGGAAATCAAAAAATTTGAATATAGCATACTGTTTACATTGTTTTTCTCAATTTTGTCCCTTACTTTTGGACGATCCTATTTTGAAAATAAATAATTGTTATAATTCTTTTTCTATCCTTTGCAAATGATTCAAATTTTAGTACATTATTATGGATGATAATGACTACCAGTTGTCAAAATTTCAGCTTTTCACAGTTGTTATTTCTAACAAATATTAGGTTTTAAAATTTTGTCCCTTAATTTTGGACACTACTGTATGTAGCAGACATTCTCAATGATAAAGTGTGTAAAAAGTTAAGTTTTTTGTGTATATGTATGTTTGTACAGGTGTGTGTTTTTATGTGCATGCCTATGCATGTGTACACATGCATGCATGTTTGTGTTCGTGTATGTGCATCTAACTTTGACTTTGTGTGTCTAATTGTGTGTTTGTGTTAATTATATATGTATTTTTAGTCAGTTGCATTATTTAACTTAGTGTTTTAATATACTTTAGTAGGTTGTATTATTTAATTTTACTTAGTGTTTGATACTTGTGTTTAATTGTATGAAAGAACAGTTTTTTGTTGGTGATGTTAAAACAATTGTTTCTTTGATATTTTTTCATTGGTTTATGCTTAGTATGTTCCTAAACTTTGATATTATTTTAACCAATTTAAAATTAGGTTATGGTTTTATTTTTGTGCATGTATGTGTTCTTGTGCAGATGAGTGTTTATGTACACATACTCACATGTGTATTTTTTGTGCTCATGTGTGCACATCTAAATGTGTGTGTGTTTGTACATTAACACTCCTATATGTGTTCTCACTTTTTATTTATTTTTTTTATTTTCACTTATTTATTATGAACCAGAACTTTTTATATATATATATATATACATATACAAGTGAACATTGGAGTCGACACTCAGAGGTGACAGACTTTTGACATCAATGTTCACTTTTATATTTACATATGCTCTATCCCTGATATTGAGGACTTTGTCCCATAAATATAGCACACCTTAAAACTATATTTCTTCATATTGTGTGTTTTTGCATTTTGTAAAGGATGTAGTCGTAATTTATTTTTGTTTTGTGTGGATATTATTTTATCAGTGTTATGAGTATTTGTGTGTTTTATCAGGAGTGTAATTGTGGTGATTTGTATGTAGGTTTTGGGTTGTGTTTTGTTTTATATTTCTTTTCTTTTCATATTAGTATTTAGGAAGCAAAGTTGGTGCTTATTTAAATGTCTGCATTTCTCCATTATTTCATTCCTCTTGTTCAATAAGTTGTTTTGATCCTTGAAGGTGATGATTGTTAATTTTTCTTCCAGGCACAATTTACTATTTCTGCTGTTGTTACTGTGTGGGGGCTATACAAACACACACATGCATACATATCCAGCAATGTCAGTTTTATAAATATATATAAGTAAATTTGGTGCTACTATAGCATGAGGTCTACCTCAATATAGCATGAAACAGAAGGTTTCATGTGTTTAGAAAATGTGAGACAAATATAAATATGTGTTAGACCTCTCCCAATCTGATAGCCGTGGGGGGGGGGTACAATATACTGTGGTAGTTCTCACGCTATAGTAGCACTGTACATTCATAGAAATGTTAATCATTACTTAAAAATATAATCATATATTATGATTGTTTTTATTGATTGATTCATTTTCTACACCTTAAAGATATAAAACCAAAAAATATTTTTAGACTGTAAGGATTTTTTTTTTTTTTTAATAATAATGATTTATTGATACAAGTTTTACCAATTAACCCACAGGCTGAGGACAGAAGATGTGGATTCATACTGTTTCCATGTAAGTGAATGTAATAAACCCAATAAGAATTGAAACTTGGCTCCCTTAACAATTCCAAGCTATTATCTATTACACCACCTGCACATCCAAGTTTACAGCTAATGGTATTCCTGAGCAGTCACCTATCAAGGTAGTGACCAGGCTAGATGTTTCTTAACTTTGGTGATCATCCAGGAACCGATATATATTATAATTCTGCCTGTTTCTCCATTGGTTAGCACTTGTATTACGCCCTGCCATTACATTTCCCCAGATAAATAATGGACCATTTTATTTTGCTTGCAAAAAAAAAAAAAAACAGAAGAAAAAGATATATCAATGACACTGTTTAGTTTTAATGAGAAAAAGGAAGCATACATAAGAAAGAAACAAAACAAAAGAGGAAAGACAGAAGAGTTGATAATGCTCTAATGCATTTAACATCTGCTTCTGTGAAATGGAAATCTTTATCAATCTTAAAATTTTCATTTGTACCCTCTTACTTCTTTAAATAATGACCTACATTCATACTTATGATTGGTATTGTAAAATTTTCTTAAAATTATTAAGCTCATATATTTAACAATGCAATAGGGGGGATTTTTACTGGTATTTTATGGAATTTAAGACAATTTCATGGAAGAGCCGGTGTCATTGACTGCATAGTAATGTTGGAGGAGGCCAAGGTCAATTTTGTTAAGCTTTTCTCTCTTATTGTTTGACTTCTTCCTTTTCTCTTCTGGTGGCTTTGAAGTTTTTGGTTTCAATGGTGATGGAACATTGTCAGTTGGTATAGGCTTGTGAATGTATTTCAAAAGATTTTAGATTTTTGAGTTGGTCCTTGTATCTTTGAAGAGGACAACCCTATGGTCTTTTCCCTGAACTGAGCTAACTGAATAAGACTTAATGTGATAACCTTGACTATTCCATTCTTCCTACATGTCCTGACAATCAAAGACAATGTTTAATAATTAGTGATTTGATGCTTTATATGATTAGTAGTAAGGATAATGTATTTGTTATTACAAT